TGAGGAGATGTTTGCATAAATGTAGGAAGTTGGGCACAGATTGCTTTGGTTTGGTTTTCTGTGGGGAGAGCCTGCTGTCGACGGAAGCCTTGGCAGGTCATCCTTTTAAATGGAAACTTGTTTTCTTGCTTTTACTTTAGCTTCTTCACACCCCAGCCCATGTACTGCCATCTGCTTCTTTCCTGTGCTCCATGTTTGTAAATTCATTGCTGCTGTCTACAGAGACTAAGAGGTGAGGCAACTCTTTAAATATGTTTAGATACTCTCTTGGGAAAGGAGATGGTTTCTGTTATCTTTGATACAGAATATTCTTTCCCTGTATTTCTCTTTTTTTTCTTCCTGCTTTAACCTGTAGTTAAAGGATATAAGATTACTAGGTCAGATAAATAAAATACTTTGAAAATAAATGTCAGAAAGAGATCTCTTCTGGTATGTTTTAAGAATGCAGTGTGTAATTCAGAACTACCCTTTTTATAAATTCACCTGCTCTTTCATAATAACCCATAATTTTTAAACTGTATTTAATAAGAACTTTCATGTATTTTGTTCATATTATATTTTTACATAGGTAACTTAAATTAGAAAGTTATTGTTTAGAAAATATTTTTAATAGTAATTATTGTCTTTAACTCTGTTGCTGTTAAAGTGCTGAAGAAGTTCCTGATGATGCAGATATGGAAGAGGAAAAAGAAAGTGACGATTCAGATGAAGAAAATAATTTCACAGAAGAGGTCCAGGATACAAATACCACAGATTTGGGAGAAGACATTATACATCAGTTGTCAAAATCTGAAGAAAAGGAACTTAGAAAATTGAGGAAAGTGGACTACAGCTGGATAGCTGCCCTTTAAGACTTGGAGAATGGGGGTGGGTTCTTGCACTTTGTTTTTGTTGTTTTTTATTGTATGTTGATAGTCCAAGAATCTATTTTAATATTATTTCTGTTTTTAAAAATGTTAAAAATACTAACAGGCTTTACTGTTTGAATAACATACTATGAAGCTCTGTTCGCATCATGTTTTACAGCTGCTGTGCACATTCATATATACATCATCTCATTCGTGCTCAGTCACACATCAGCCTTTTAAAGTAGCTCTTTTCTTCACAGGTGATACAGCAGAGCCAGGACTTGAATTTACACAGCATGTGTCCCCTTATTTGCAATTTGGAGTAAAAGGTTTTAAAAATCAAACTTCGTTGATGATATTGTTTTAAGTTCAAGATTCATTTGGTGGCCAAATACGACCTGAACTGATGTGAGGTTTTCTGTAGCCTTGACTCATCCCTCTTAGTGTATTTATTTCTCATAGTGAAAATTAGAGAAATGATTTGATTATGGTGCTGTTCCACAGACCCCACTGAGGGTAACATATAATATGAGCTGCCTAAAATCTGAAAAATTCTAAATTCACATCATGTGGCTCCATAACTTTCAAATAAGGGCTTGTCTACTGTACTTGTAAATCTTAATTTCCATGACCGCCTTGGCAGATAAGAAGAGCTGGTATTACTCTGTCAGTGTTATTCCTGTGTATACTGAGTCAAATAACTACTTTCTAACCAGAGTCCCATTGCTAGTAGAATGCAGGTCTCCTCTATGTTATGTTAAAGTATTGAGGTTGCTACATTTTAACCACTTAGCATATTCACAGAGTTACACATCCTCACTGCAGAACTCAACCCATTACCAGTCACTCTCAGCCTACCCCACGCCACACCCACCAACAGTTCTGTCTCTGCAGATATGCCTATTCTGGACTTTTCATACAAACAGAATCATATAATAAGTGGTCTTTGTGACTGGTTTCTTTTACTTCACATTCATTCTACAGAAAGTACAGCATGTATCAGTACTTCATTTCTTTTTATTAATTTAATTTCACCTGGTTATATACCTAGGAGCAGAATTTCTGAGTTACTTGGTAACTGTTTAATTTTTTAAAGAACTACAAAACTATTCTACAAATCAGCTGCAGCATTACATTATGTGGAGCATAAATTGTTCCACAGTCTGATCCATTAAATTTAGGTCCCTCTTGGGGGTTATTTTTTGAGGCCAGTCTTTGAGGTTCCTGTGAGGACTCTGTCTCTTCTCTTGGTTCTTTTTGGTAAACTAGCTGATGTATAGGTAAGCTTGTTTTCTTGGAGCTACTAGCCTGCTCTTAAGTGCTTACCACCAAAATCTCCATTGTTTTCAAGAATACCCTAAATTGGGGAGTTTGAGATTTGCAAATGTTAGCCACTATATGTAAAAGTAGATTTAAATATATATATATATTCTTAGACTTGAACTTCACTCTTTCAAATAATGTCACAGCTCTCTATTTTTACAGACTGCCTCCTGGGCAAAATCTTTCAGCCACTGCTCCTGAAAGGGGTGGGACAGGCACAGTAACCCCTTCTCTCAGTGTCAAAGTGACACCCCTGCTTTACAAATGGCAGAGACAGTAGCCTCTGGTTTTTGTCTCTCCTGACTGGACCCTCCCCTGCCAGCTGGGGCAAGGATGTCCGGAGTCCAGTATTCTCAGCCTGGGGAGTGGGGCTCTGACATAGTTACAAAGTCGTTATTTTGCCATGTTCAGACACTGACATGGTACCTCCAGGTTTAAGAAATATTTTTTGCAGTTAGGTATGAAAAGTTTCATACTTTAAAAATTATTCAAAGTAAATTTGGCTCTTTTTAAGTGTAGATCTTTCTGAGGAGTTAATCTCATACACCACAGCATGACAACCTTATTCTAATTTCTCCTGATACTAAAAAAGAATTTTTTTCCCCAGAGACAACTGTACAGATAAAAAGATAGTAGCCACTCTGTTCCTTAATATCTGGACTTTCAGGCCCAATTAATCAATCCATGAAGACTGGTCACCTTCTAGCCTCCCTCAGTTATCTGATTTATCTTTCAAGGCAGGAACCCATCACTTTGCGCTCACTAGGGCAGCCTGTACCTCAGGAAGCATAGGCTTCAGCCTCACCGAGGGAGGGACCACAGATGAACCGCGTACCACGGGCTGCACGGATCACACTTTCACCACAACTCCATGTCAGCTATTTACCCCAATCTGACAATTGAGGAAACTGGCTCCATAGATCACTGGGTTCTCAAGAAGTGGGACTAAAACAGCCCCTCCCTCTCCATCAAATAACAAATCCTGTGCTCTTCATAGAATAGCATGGTGTCTCCCAGGCACTTAATGCTACTAGCTAGCGTTACAAAGGCATCGTTAATTGGGGGTGGCGTTGTGATAAAAGACAAGTGAATAGCCCAGGTTTGGGGCTAAGTCCCAGCTGCAGACAGCTAGCTAGCTCTGTGACCTGGCTACAGTCCCTTACTTACTGTGTCGGAGCTTCAGTCCCCTCCTCTGTAAAATGAAATGCTCCTCCCCATGCAAATGGTTTTGACTGCCTCGTGCTATTATGTTCCAAATATAAACAAAGTGTATAAAATTTGGATATTGTATGAGATTATGCACTTGACTATATGCAAACTTTCAATGAAAAATCTAGGCTAATTAAATAGCTGCACATTAATTAGAATAGGCTTATTGTTAATGTGTCAAAACAATTTCTCTTTGGTTTCTTTGCTTTTTTTCCCCTTTTCACAGACTAGCACTCAGTATAGAAATTATAGAATATGTTGTAACGCTGTGTAATTCCAAATAATTCCAGGTCTTCATACTATGATTGTTATGGGGCCTTTAAGGGAAACCTATTAAGTTAAACATAACGATTTGGTTTAAATTAGCTGAGTCTTGTAAATGGCACTGATTTTTCTGAGGCTACTTTATCTGAACTACTGCTTCAGAAAATTGTGTTTTCCTCTGTTAGCTTCTTGTGTGTTTCTTGATAACCATGAAAGTAGCAAAAGTATTTTTCAACACCATAGTCAAGCTTCTGTGTCACTGCACAGTCCTAGATGAAATGGCGAAAGATAAGACCCAGGAAGGATACATGAGCCCAGAAGATTATTCATCATTGACATTAAAGAGAAATAGAAATGGAAGTAACTGGGATTTAATAGTATACATGGTATACACGTATCCATGTAGAATGTATACACGCAGTATCCATGGTACGCAGGGAGGAGAGAATGTGAGTACAATGCAGTCAACCAGAGAGATGCACATGCAATCGGTGATTCAGTTGCTCGAATTGCTTTTGTTTTTCTAAAACCATGAGCAGCACCACTTAATCTGAGTTATAGTTCATTCACCAAACTGCATAATTAAGACAAGCTGACTTCTAACTCTTACTCTGTGACCACAAAACTAAGATGTTAGACTGGTATATTACAGCCCCCACTCCCACCCTGCACCCCAAAATGCCAAGGATCTAGTCTTGCAAATACTAAATATGTGGTACCTGTATAGAAGCATATACCTATCTTAGTTTCCCATCTTCAGGCATGACATACCTCAGGCTTGGAAACTCCTCTGGAGATCAGAGCACTTGGTTCACAAAATGAAATAATCAGACATGAAAGCACACCAGTTCCTCCCATTGTTGTGTTGGGTTTTGATAATCCTTGTTATTCAGTGGTCACCTACTTTAACGGAAGGACGAATATAAGCACTCTGAAAACAAGCACTTCAAGTGCAAATACTGATATTACATTCTAGCTCACATAGGAAGGTTAAATTTCAACGTCTCGTTCCCTCAGAAATGCCTGTCTGCAGTTGTAAACTTTTGAGACCCCTAGCCCAGCTCTATTTGGTGAGCAGTGTCTCATGCCACAAAGACCATTGATCTAGGAGTCAGAAGACCTCTTTCCAACTCTGCTTCTTACTAGGTATGTACTTGGCCTTAAGTTTATTTGAAGCCTTAATTTTTTATCTCTAAAAAAGAGGGCTGTGTTTCCGTAGCTGGTCCTTTGAGAAAGTGCCCAGAATTCTACTGGCCCTACTCAAAAGCATATGTATGGCTTTGCTGCTTATTACAACTTCCACTGGTGCTGGAGAGAAGAGAAAACAAGTAGCTTAAAAAGTTTCATTTGTGAATAAGAGAAATCTACACCTACTTAGTCTTGAGATGCCCTTGACCTAAATCTACACTTTTCCTGAGAGACCGGGTTAAAATTAGAATTTCATCAGCAACTTCCTCAGAAACTATAAACAAAAGCGAAAAAAAAAAAAAACAAGGATGTGATCATTTAAAAAGAAATCCCTTTTTTTAAATCCCTCTTCCAGCACCCGCAACTCCTTGGCAACCACTGCTCTTTTTACTGTCCACATAATTTTGACTTTTCCAGAATGTCGTATAGTTGGAACCATACAGTATATAGCCTTTCAGGTTGTCTTCGTCCACTTAGTAATATTCATTTAAGTTTCCTCCATGTATTTTCATGGCTTGATAGCTCACTTCTTTTTAGCACTGAATAATATGCCTTTGGCTCCATGTACCACAGATTATTTATCCGTTTACCTTCTGAAGATAATCTTGGTTACTTCCAGGTTTGACAATCACGAATAAAACTGCTATAAACATCTGGGTGCAGGTTTTTGTGTGAGGTTGCAACTCCTTTGGGTAAATACCAAGGAGTGTGATTGCTGGATTATATGGCAAGAGTATATTTAGTTTTGTGAGAAACCACCAAACTGACTTCCAAAGTGGCTGACCATTTTGCACTCCCACCAATAATGAATGAGATTTCCTGTTGTTCCACATTTCTGCCAACATTTAAAGCTGTCAGCGTTCTAGATTTTAGCCATTCTAATAGGAGTGTAGTGGTATCATTGTTTTAATTTGCATTTCCCTGATGACTTTTGATGTGAATTATTTTTTCATATGCTTATCTGCCATCTGTATATCTTCTTGGTGAGATTATTATGAAATAATCACTGCAGTAAGCTTAGTGAAAATCTGTCATCTCATATAGATACAAAATTAAAGAAATAGAAAGAAAGTGTTTCTCCTTGTGATGAGAACTCTTAGGATTTACTCTCATTAACAACTATCATATATAACATACCTCAGTATTAATATTTATCTTGTTGTACATTATATCCCTAGTACTTACTAATCTTATAACTGGAAGTTTGTACCTTTTGACTACCTTCATCTAACTCCCTCTCCCCCAACCCCTCCCCATAACTGCAAATCTGATCTTTTCTATGAGTTTGTTTTTGAATAATAATTAACCTTCAATATTATGGTAGTTCCTGGTGTACAACATGGTGATTCAATGTTTTTATACATTTCAAAGTGATAACTGCAATAAGTCTTGTTACCATCTGTCACACACAAATATAATACACAATTATTGACTATATTCCTCCACTGTATATTTCATACCCATGACTCATTTATTTTGTAACTGGAATTTTGTACCTCTTAATCTTCTTCACCTATTTCTCTAATTTCCCCACTCCCCTCCCCTCTAGCAGCAACCTATTTGTTTTCTGTATCTATGACTCTGTTTTATCATGTCTGTTCATTTGTTTTGTTTTTTAGATTCCACATAAAAGTGAAATCATAGAATATTTGTCTTTGTGTGACTTATTTCACTTAGTATAATACCCATTGGATCCATCCATTTTATTGCAAATGGTAAGATTTCATTCTTTACAATGGTAATATTCCATTATTATATTAGTGTGTGTGTGTGTGTGTGTGTTATATATATATATATAATAAATGTAATATTACTTATTTACTATATATATACATTATTATAC